GAGCGTTGGAGTTCGAGGTTGAAGGAGTGGTAGGAAGGGGTCGTCCGCGATTGGGATGGAGAGAACAGGTGGAGAAGGACAGGGTGAAAGCGGGGTTGCGTGATACTGAGGCGAGTGACAGATGTGGATGGCGTCGAGGGGTATTTCGGTTTCATCATAGGTAGTCAAACGGCAACCCCCGATCTCGGGGAAAATGTCGTCTAAACGTGTGTTGTTGTTTTGTTGTTTTATTTCAATGTTTTATTTTTCTGTTGCAAAGCCTGAAGGTAAAAAGTAAAACAAACTATTGAATTTGTTAACTAATTTTTATTCAATTTTTGTTTAAGTATTTTGAAAAAGATGATTACAGACAGGCAAGGTTCATTCAAAATCCAAAATGGGTAAGAAGTTGTTAAAAATCTTCAAGTTCAAACATATTTAAAATGATAATATTTATTTTTTATATATTTTATTTATTCAACAGAAAACCTTTTCAAAAATACTAAAATTTCTTATTTCTGTAAAATTTCTTATAGGTAAATAAGAATTTTGCAATAGATTTGATCAGAGAAGATCCTGTTGTTGTCTGCTCAAAGAGGGTAGTATCAAGTAATAGTGGAGGCCCCTTGGGTCACCCCACCGTATTCATTAATCTGGTTGGTTGATTTTTGCTTTTTTTTAAATTTGAAAAAATTGTTGTTAATTCAAGTTGCTAAATATTTATATGGTTTTTTGTGTTTTTGTCATTATTGTTATTATCAGTTATTAAAAAATCTTGTATATTGGAGGCAATTTTCATTTTAATTATAACTTTATCGTCTTTTTCTTTATTCAAATACATGTTCATATATGTTATTTCTAATGAATTTGATTGTAATTATTGTCTAAGTAAACATGAAATTTTTTTTAATTCAATAAATTTGAGTTTAATTAAAATTTTTTAATAACATTTAAATTTTAAAATGCCAGGACAAGCCGGGAGTGCATGTATGTGGATATAGTGGCAGAAAGTTTGTGCACAAAAGGTATTATGATCCCAAATCAATGGGACCGTGTATCACATTTGAAAAGTACTGTGAGCAAGTTGGGGCAGATCCTGATAACTGAGTTTTCAATATTACTTATGAGCAACAATATAAATTTGTTAATAAATTCCCGTTTGTGCGGCTTAAAATAAGTGTTTAATAATGATTTAAATGATAATCTTTTTCGTTTATCACAAACCCATTCGTCAAAGAAATTGAAATAAAGTTTATCAAAATAGATAGAAATAGCTTGTTTGCTTCTTGTTTTCTTTTGAGTTCATTACTCTTTTCCCAAATTTTCAAAAATATGAAACTTATCAAACTGCTGTGAAATACAATATCAAAACAAATTATGCAAAATTTATTCATAATACCTCAAATTGCATGATTGCATGTATTTTGCATTCGGAACGACATGTCACACTCAAACTCAATCCAATGATCTCAAGTTCTCACTAATCTAACACGAGTTCCTTGAAATTCACTTAATCACAATTGCATGGAAAGAAATTCGTGTCAATAGACCAAATAATGGTTTATATGTCATACACACGGATATATATACTTGGTTATACATACCTGAGTTTTAACTATATTATAGCCTAATATTGATTAAATGATTTTGATATAATAAAAAAACCCGAAAAAGAAACAATAATATGTATCTTTACTGGCTAGGCATGTTGTTTGTTTATGTTTTTATTTTGGTTTTATAAAATTTCCGGGTATGTTTTGTGTGTGTTTTGACTGAAATTAGTAAATTATTGACTCAGATATTACGTTTTTAGTATTTAAATTAGTCATTTGATTGACTGGGATGTCTACGAACGACCGTAATATTAGTCTTTTTGTTATTTAATTTTTTAATTAAATTTATAATCTAATTAATATTAAAATTTTAAATTAATTAAATAATAAATGTAATTTTAAAAGTTTCAACAAATTGTTCAGATCAAAGCTAATAAAATTACAAGTTGAAGAATGACTTTCTGAAGCAGAATTTATTTTTTTTACTAATAGACCGATCTATTTTAATTTTTTAATTAAATAAAGATAAACTATTATATATTATATTATAAATATAAAAATAAAAAAAAACTGAAATCTATTTATTTCCAATAATAATAATTGATCATTTATTATTATTCATTAATTTTTTTATTATTTATTTAATTTATTTATCTGTTATGGACTTTGAAGATGAAAGTCAAAGTAATGACAAGGTATGTATAAAATTCAAATAAATTATTTTTTTTGCTATTAAATTATTAATGAAATTAATTAATTAATTAATTAGTTATTAAATAGATTCACTTGAAAGTAAAATTACTGATTTTATAATTGTTGTTGACCTCTTCTAGCCAGAATAGATTAGAGTCTATTCATTTTTTAACATGATTTTTAATAAATTTAATCAAACTGTCATTCACTTTATCAATTTGTCAATTGATTAATGATTTATCAACTATTTAATCTGTTTAATCAATCAATATTAGGCTGTGAAACAGTTTCTTATAAAACTAAAAGAATCTCAGAAAGCTAGTGAAAGCACGTCAGAGAAGTTATCGACAAATACAATTTTAAAATTCCTAACAGCGAGAAAGTTTAACGTACAGAGAGCTGTCGACCTCTACATATCTCATCAGGTGTGTATTCTGCAAGGGCAGCGTGCTAGTGTAGTGGTTAAGATGCATGGCACTCCTGTTGCTGTGACCTGGTTTGAATGCAAGGAGATTCCTACCTATCATATACAATGTGTGTGATGCAATGGCTCTTGTGTGATAACATATACTCTTTGTTTCTGTCATCATCGTTGTTGAGGCTTAATTAATTAATTAGGCTTCATAATTAATTAAAAGAGTTTAACCTTTTTATTCTTAAATTATGTTAATTTTCTGCCAATGTGAGATATGCGTAGCTTGGAAAATTATCATATTTAGATTGATACTAGTCGATACTAGTCTAAAATTTTTATAATACATCATAAGCTAGATCATCATAATCATTACTGTCATAGTCATCATCATCATCAAACATCATAAACAACATTAATTTCATTATAAATGTTTTGACCATTATTAATTTTTATCAATGTTCTTCTTTAGACTTTATTTGCTATTAAATAAACATGAGTATGTGTGTGTTCTTTATATAAGCGGGTGTTTCTGTGTGTGTGTGTGTTTGTGTGTGTGTGTTTGTGTGTGTGTCTATATATGTGGGTGTGTGTCTGTATATGTGGGTGTGTGTATGTGTATCTTTTTAGGGCTGTTTGAATTTTTGTGTATGACGGTTTATGTATGTGTGTGTGTGTATATCTGTGTGTATGTAAATGCGTGTGCGTCGGTGTGTGCGCGTGTGTGTACGCGCGTGTGTGTGAATATGTTTGTATGTAAGTGCGCAGTGGTAATTTTATTCTTCTTAAATAAAATTTGAGATCTTAGAAATATTGATTTAATAACTTTTCAATGAACTTATAATAATAATAACTTAAATGATTAAAATTATTATAAAATTAATTTATTATTATTTTATTTATTATTATTATAATTATTGTTATTATTGTCACACCATTAATAATAATAAGTAGATAGATATGAATGTCATTTAATAAGTCTAGCTGTGGTAATGTAATATTGTACAGTTGGTTGGTGTTAATCTTTCCACATTCATTTATTCGTTTTATAATTCATTCATTTCTTCATTCATTCATTCATTTCTTCGTTTGTTCTATCATAAGTTAACTCTTTCTTTCATTCATTTGTTCATTCTATCATACGTTAACTCATTCATTTTTTTGATTTTTATTCTACTATTCATTCATCTATGTTTTATTATTTTTTCGTTCTTTCATTCATTCATTCATTCATTCATTCATTCATTCGTTCTTTCATTCATTCATTCATTCATTCATTCATTCAGTCAGTTTTACGTTTTTTCATACGTTTTTTCATTCATTCATTCCCTCAATTATTTATACATTTACTTTACTTACATCTTTAAATTGTTAAATGTTTTTATTTACATTAGTATAATTTCAGTAAAAATAATTAGTGAATGATTGATTGACTAACTGATTAATTGATTGAATGATTGATTGACTGACTGATTAATTGATTGAATGATTGAATTAATGATTGATTGATTGACTGATTGACTGACTGATTAATTGATTGAATGATTGAATGATTGATTGATTGATTGATTGATTGATTGATTGATTGATTGATTGATTGATTGATTGATTGATTGATTGATTGATTGATTGATTGATTGATTGATTGATTGATTGATTGATTGATTGATTGATTGATTGATTGATTGATTGATTGATTGATTGATTGATCGATTGATCGATCGATCGAAGGAAACAAGAAGGAAAGAAAATTTATTAGAGATTGATCCATGGAATCCACATATTAGGAAAGAATTACTCAGCGAGAAACTGACAGTCCTGGTTGGCATTTTAATTTCATTTTTCCTCCTTTACGATTATTATTTTTAATTAAATCATTCCAAAGTCATTTTCATAATTTCAGTCAGGTATAATAATTAGTAATTATAATAATTAATTTATGATCAATTATCATTAATTACGAATAATTATGGTTATAATAAAAGCCAACAAGAGATAAGGATGGGTCAGGAATATTGTTATTCACAGCCAGACAACATCAACCCAGTCTGACAAACCATTCATACGTACTTCAAGGTTTAGTGGTTCAACTGGATGCTGCTCTAGAAAGGTGCTTTTCTTTATTACGAAATTATGAAATTATAATTTGTTATTATGCTAATTATTCATTTGGTTTGAAGTAACTTTTTTTATTTATTTTTGATAATAATTTTATCAATGTTGTTATTTTTCTTACAATTATTATTGTTGTTGCCTTTTATTATTTTTATTGCTCCAATGAGATGTGGCCCAGTTTTATAATGATTATAATTTTGTTTGGAGTAGGTGCAATTATGGTGCGCTATCATTTATCATTCATTCATTCTTTCTTTCATTTCGTCACCAGCCCATCCATTCATCAATTCGTTCATTCATTTTTCATTTATTCATCCATTCATTCATCCATCCATTCATTCATTCATCCATTCCTCAGCCCTGAAACCCAAAAGAATGGGATAGTCTTCATCTACGATATGACCGGTTCCAAATTTGCAAACTTCGATTACGAACTCAACATCAAAATCTTAAAAATGCTAAGGGTACTTGCTGCTATTATTATTAGCCATTGTTATTCATTATTATTCTCTCTTTTTTTCTGTCTTTACAATCACTGTCCAGTAGCAATATTGACTACATCGCTTCTTTGCAGATGAATTTTTTTTTCATTAGATCGTGAAAAATAATTTAAAGTCTTCCTATTCGAGAACACTGGATGATTAGATGGCTTTGTATGGCTTCTATATTCTTTTCTTACCTTGCAACTGAAGAGTTTTGTTCTTCATAGTATTCTGTAAAAAATCTCGTTGTTTTAACTTTAGCACGTAGTTTTGCTCAATGTTTGCTCACTTACACACACAAACGCACACACACAAACACACATGTATACACATACAAACATCACGGGGCACACACACATATACACATACAAACACATACAAACACACACACACCATAGGGCAGCTATCCAGCCCGTTTAAAAAAGGTTCTCATAGTCACCGCCCCACTTTGGTTTAAGGCTCCCTTCAAGGTGCTAAGGGTCTTCATACTTGAAAAATTGCGGGATAGGGTTAGTCGGTTTGCTGTTGTTTTCAGATGGTTTGATTTTTTGGTCTGTCGTTATTATGGTGCTTTTTTGTTGTTTTTACGAACGGATCACATTTCATAAGAACTTTTTAATCATTTTATTTTTTGATTTAGTTTATTTTTTGACATTTTTTAACATATCTGACAGAGTACATACATTATTATATAAAGAAACGATTTTTCGAAATCTTTACATGATTATCAACTCTCTCCTCTCTCTCTCTCTCTCTCCCTTTTTATTTATCTTATCTATCTATGTTATTCAATGCTGTTTAAAATTATTTAGAAATAAAAATTATTCATTTATTTTTTTAATGTTTCTGTTTAATTTAATTTAAAAAAATTTTTATACACCAACTGATTTAACTTCATCTTTATAAGAGAAGATTTTTAGTTTAGTAATATTAAACAAACGACTCCAATGTTGAATGAACGTATATGCGAATGTTTTCAATGCTATTTTTTTAATGGATTTATGATGTTCATATTTAGTCTTAATTTGTAATAATTTATTTATAACATAATCACTTATGTGTGTATGTATTTATTATTTTATAGATAAATATCATTACGATAAAACTCATTGGGGTCATCTCTCTCTCTCTCTCTTTCTCTCTCTCTATTTATCTATCTATCTATCTATCTATCTATCTATCTATCTATCTATCTATCTATCTATCTATCTATCTATCTATCTATCTATCTATCTATCTATCTATCTATCTATCTATCTATCTATCTATCTATCTATCTATCTATCTATCTATCTATCTATCTATCTATCTCTCTATCTATCTGTCTTTTTCTCTCTTCCTCCTCTCTCTCTTTGTGTATTTGTGTGACACTACCCAACACCACACACCACACCACACAGGTCCACATCTTGAATGCCGATGAACTCGTCACTCATCTGCCCCTAACTTCCATACCGATTCAGCTAGGTGGCTACCTGAGACACAACCACCAGGAGTGGCTGACGAAGTGTCTACTCATTTCATCGTCGCAATCGTCGACTTCATCTTTGCTCTTATCATCTTACCATCGCCACAACAACAACAACAACAACAATAACAATAATAATAATAATAATAGTAATAGTAGTAGTAGAGATATAGCTTCGTATTTCAGACAGTCATCTCTTTATGATGCTGATGTTAATGATGATGATGAATGCCATGATGGTGATGATGATATAGAAGATGATGAGGACGATGACGACGATGATGTCGGTTTTGTTGGCGATCATTCAAAGTTCACGTCATCGTCATCGTCGTCGGTTCACGAGGGTAGAAAAATATCACCGGATAGTTTTTTCAACGATGACGACGACGATGACGTCGATGATGACGTCATAAATGAAGGCGCTGATTATGATGGGTGATTATTTTTTATTTTTTTTTTTTTGTGAAATTCTAATAATCTTGCCTGTCGGTTAATATCTGTTTGTGGTTAATTCTAATTTGTGTATTTATATACATACTATATATTTGTCTATGTCTGTATCTGTCCGTTCATCCGTCTGTGTGCTTGTCTGTCTGTGTGACTGTCTTTAATATCTGTACTATCTTTTGTCCTTTCTCATCATTTGATGATGTTTTTGTTTTTTCATCTTTTCACTTTTGCAAATTCTATTTTTTTTCAAAGTATGACGAAACAGCGAAAAAGCAGCATTGCTCGCAAGAGAAGTGCCGAAATTTCGGGAAATAAACCGACGAAAAAGAAACTAACTGGTGAATGAAATTTTTTAGATTTTCAAATTTCTAAAATTTTTAGAAAATTAGTGTAAAAACTTTTCCCGCATAGCATCCTCGTCCACAAATGCGACAGCGGCGAAACACTTCTCGACAACTACGTCATCATCAACAGCCGTGACGTCATTGAAAAATGATGACCTCACTGTGGTTAACTACGATTGCGGCAAGAACGGGCTGACGGCAGTTGAACTACAAAAACATTTCGATACCGTTGGTGTGCACGGTTTGGAGGCAGAGTACAACATCATCAGATCCGACCCTGTTATTGGGAGTATACATAAGTTCAAGTTTGTACTTGTCTGACTGCTGCCCTGTTTTTCTTTCTCTCTCTCCCTCTCTCTCTCTCTCTCTCTCTCTCTCTCTCTCTCTCTCTCTCTCTCTCTCTCTCTCTCTCTCTGTTTGTATATTTGTTGGTTTGTCTGTTTGTCTCTTTGCTTGTTTGTTTGGGTGTATGCCTCATCTTGAGTCTAGTCAAACTGGTACAACATTCGTCTTTGGAGTTATAGCCAATATTGTTTGGTCCATTATGTATTGGCTTTACATCCTTTTTGACAGTGTTATCGTTGTGTTTATTACTGCTATTATTATATTGATATTTTTATCATCATCATCATCACTCATTCATTCACTCATTAATTTATTTATTCATTAATTTATTCACTCACTCATTCATTCAGAATGAAAGTGAACCAAGGAAAAAATCGCTATTCAGATGTTGTATGTCTTGATAGGACTAGAGTTCCAATCCAACTCAGACTCAGTGATGATGATGACGGACGGTATGTTAATAATGAAGATGATGATAATGATGAAGATGATGATAGTAATGATGAAGATGATGATGATGATGATGATGTGTTTT